CTGGAAAATGATTAGTTTCCTGCTGATTTCTGCAAGCTGAACTGCTTCAGCGCGGGGTCAAAGGAGAGCCGGAGCCAGCACTGGGGAGTGGGTGGGAGGGCAAGGGGGAGGAAGGCTGCCCCTGCAGCAGGGTGAGGGCAGCCCTCCTGGCAAGGGGGTGCCGGCCCCCCAGGTGATGGCTGAGGTGTGGGTATCTCCTGTCACACCTGAGACGTGGGTGGTGGGATGCTGGGAGAGCTGGGGAGCACCTACACAGCATTGGGGTGAACCCTCGCACCTGGGGAAGCCCCGTGGCACGACGACTGCCTTCTGGGGGCCACAGGGGGGCATTTGGGGTAGACACATATGCTGCCTTTTAAGGTCATTTTGAAAAGTGTGTGATTTTGTCTGCTGTGTCTTACAGTTACTGAGGTAACGTGTGAGTGCTGTCAGCAAGTTCAGTATTGCTTTCTAGCCATGTAGGAGAAATAATTTCTGCTAAAGATATTGACTTGCGTTTAGAGGTGGGCAGGGAGTGTAACCCCATAAAATGTAAAACAAAATGAAAAACCTACATCTCCATAGATGATAATAATTCAGACTTGGTTGTGTGGCTTCCTGGAACAGCTTTGGAATGAGTATCAGTGACCTACTGAATTCATCAGTGGGCTGGGGCCGAGGAGATGTTTGCATGGTTTCCGTGTAGGGTATTTATAGCATAAGTAGATCTCAGGAGCTGCTGATGAACATGCGGTTTAGTCATCACTCCCTCTAGAATGATATTCCATAGCGTTTCTGTATAAAGGTTGGCTGGCAATTGTATTTTTGCATGCACTAAATTTAAAATGTGTGTACAGGAGCTGTTTGCAGGAGAGAAAAGGACATTCAGGTATTTCAGAAGCTATTCTGGTTTTCTTCTCTCCGGCAGGATGAAGCGTTCTGATATATCATGTATTTTCAGAAAATCAAAGTAGCATGAAGGCAGAGGGATGGGGGGGAAATGACCTCTGAATTAAGACCTGTAAATTAGAAATTACTTCAGTCCCCAAACACTAATTTGCATAAAATCAGAGGCTGTTTTTCCTGATTGATTTAAAGCACGTCCCCGATGGAGTGTGCTGGAAGTTCAGGCTCCCATCGGCAAGCAGCGTTGAACTGCGTTGCGTTGTGCTCGTGGTCGTGCCAGCAATCGGATGGGTTTTACCCCAGCGGCCTTGGAAGCGGTCCCTGTGACGGGCACCTGTGATGCCCAGATTCAGGAGCAACACCCCAGGGCCTGGGGGTTGCTGGTGGGGCTTGGGCTGGCACCCAGGAAAAGGAGCAGAGGTCTTAAAAGCCACCTCACGCCATCAGAAAGGGGTCATCATCCCCAGGTGATGGAGAGGAGGTTGGAGCATGGGAGGGCTCGGACGGTGATGACTAAAAGTCCCAGGACATGCAGTGCAAATGCACTTTATCTGTATCTGGCAGCCACATGGCTTCTAGCACTTCTGGGCAAAAGAGTATTTCCTACTAAGAGCAGCAGCCATCGAGGTGATTGTCATGTCGTACCGTGGCTGTTCCCCTCCTCTCCCACATTTATTTCCTTGCTGTTTGCTTGGACCTAGTGGGAGTAGCTCTCCTCTGAAGTTTCCCCTTGCTCTTGTCAGTTTAATCTGCAAAATCTCTCCTTTTTTATTCCTCTGCTGGGTTTCCCAAGGGCTGTGCCTGGCAGCTGTAATCGCGGTCTTGTGACTGGGACTGCAAACCGGTATTATTTATGGCCTCATTCTGATCTGCAATCTAGGTCAGCAAGGGAGCCTGGCATAGTTTGTTATGCCAGCACCTTTGAATGCCGGCAGTCTTCCCAGGAAAGAATCCCTTTAACCCCTTGACCGTCTGCTGCGCTCCAAGAGCTCCCCTGAACGGTCTCTCTAACCCCATGGCTGTCTATTCAGTAGCATGCAGTATTGACTTGGCCTAGTCTGACTTGGGGGGGGTGGGTTGGGGGGTGGAAATGAAGTCCTTAGGCATCCTTGGGGCACAGCACTAAAATGGTTGAAGAGTTTTATGCCTGAATTCAATAACAAACATGAATAAAATTGATTTTTTTTTTCCCTTGAAAAAAGCAAATAAGAACCCTTAGAGCAAGATTTATTTCAGTGTTTTATGCTGTCGGGCATTTCCTGTAATTTTGACTTGTTTTGAATTAGAGAAAAAATGTACTACAATGTCCTAGTCCCCAGTTTTTCATTTCACAGAAGTACTAAATGGGTTGTTGCATTTTGAAAGCACTGAAGTGGATTGCAAAAGGTTCCACATTTATTTTGTTTTTAAATAAATTAAATCACTTTAATTGCTAATTATGCGTTGCAGAACTGCTAAGATAACTTTTAGTTCTGCAGTGTTGTTAAATTTAAAAATAAACTATAACTTTGAAACACAAAGAGAATTTCCCTTTTCTGGTGCCTCTAAGACTGTTTCAGACAAGGAGAACATAGAGGTCTCCTCCTGCCCAGGGGGAGGTGGTGAGTCCTTAAAAATCATGCCTGGCAGCCTAATTCTCAGTAGCCTTGCGTACCTCCAGCCCTACCAAAGAAAGTTGCTCTCCCAAATATGTACTGATGAGATTAAGGTCTTAATTCCATCATTTTTTCTGTGGGGATGGATCCTGATCTTTTTCTCCTCCCTAGGCAGACCAAACTAAATTTCAGATAAGCGATGCTACAGTCCTGTGTTTTAAGCTGCAAATTTGGCTGTCTGCGAAAAGTAGACCTATTGGCTGGGTGCGTTATTTGAACAGGCTCTTCTGCCCACACCTTTCAACTTGTACGTTTTGTAGTTAACCTTATCCTGGACTGCTCTGGCAGCTGCAGAAGGTCTGAAGCTCCAGGTTTGAATCCCAGCATCTGGTAAATACGAGATACATGTACTGTTCCTGGGGGAGGAAGTCTGGGAATTATCCTAGGGCTGGGTGGCTGAGTATCACTGGTGAACTAAGTCAGGAAACGTCAGTGTCTGTTGAGGTCTTTTAATTACATAAGCTTGGTTTATTACATCTAAATAAATGACACTAATGAAGTTTAAACCTAATGAATTGCTCCTTACAAAATGTAAAATAGCTGGAACAATCTATCTGATTTTGTGTGTTACTGGAAGGTTCTTTTACGTTGTTTCATTGCTGCTGGTTTTTAAATGGGTGGATATCAAACTACTGAAAAGCACCTTACAAAAGATTGCTAGTACCTCTACTGGTAGCAAGGCGTTCTTTTGGACTTCTTCATGACAGCCACATACTCTTGCAAATGTATATACTTAGCAACATTTTTCTCTTCTCCTCCCTTTTTAAATATTTCCTTTCACTGAAAAAGGCAGAACTAGATGTGTTTCATCTGGTTGAGAGTGCTGTTGCCCAGATTTTCTTGCTGCTTACTTACATGTTCTTCTTTTCTACAGGTAAAAGAGGAATGCAGGCTCCTGAATGCTCCCCCCGTCCCACCACGGAGTTCAAAGCCGTCCTCCACCAGTCCTTCCATCCCTCCTCGTACAGTCAAACCTGCACGACAGCAGACCCGCTCTCCTAGCCCTACTCTGTCCTACTACTCTTCGGGACTGCACAACATGTATGTGTTTGAGCTGAGAGCGCCTCGTGGTAGCACTTTTTGAGAACGTTAAATTTAGCAGTACGCTTTTTCAAGGCACTTGTTTATAAAGGCATAGCACTGTGTCAGAGTTGCTGACTTTTTGTGAAATGAGCTAACCTGTCAAGTTGTTTTTAAAGATTCAAGAGCAAGTAAAGCTCCAGCAGAAACTATGTTTTACTAGATAGGACATAGCAATTTATGTTAAATACCTGCACATATTGCTGTAGGTAATCTCACTGTAAGGTGGCACAGGCTGTCTAAATGGAAAATCCCCTACAGTTCTGTATAATTCTTGAAAGGCTTGAATCTTCAAACCAGAACATCTCAAAGCTAGTTTTCAGGTGGGATTTCAGTTCTACATGGATGCAGTGCAGCCAGCTCTGCTAGGTGGGGGCAAAAATGGGGCATGGTAATCCAGAAATGTGTTGTGCTAACTATATGGGAACATGCGGGATGGGTGTGATGGAGAACAGAGAGGCCAGCAGACACCACTGAGTGCAAAGTGAGGTGTAGTAGAAAGGGGTCACACAGCTTCCCAATCAAACCCACTTCAGCACAAACCTAACACACAAACTGGAAAATCCACTCAGGCTAGTCGGAAGTTGACAGTAAATTTTAGAGTATGTAGCTACATACCATTTCCTAGCGATGCAGTGTTCTTCCTTTGGCTTTAGAAAGCATATGCGCCTTTTGAAGTCTCAGCTCCTTTTTGCCTTGAATGTCTTGTTGCTGTTATTTTTGGTGTCTCTTCAATGACAAGATACTACCTGTCTGGATATTACAAATTGATCTGAAACGTCACTGAAATAATTTCAGCCTGGATGCAATTGGTATAATAACTTATGCTGGAATTGCCTTTCTAAGCCATACTGCACATTTGCAGCTTAGTGTTGTGTATCTGGCAATGATCACTCTAAATCAAGGCTGCTCGTTTGTTTTTCTGAAAGCCTGTTGGGTAGTTCTGTCAAGGTCTACTCCACAGGAGGCTGAGCACAAGACCTCACAGCATTTGGGGCCTACCAAATGTTGCTTTCTCTCCTTGTAGCTAAGAATACATCTGCCTCCCAAGAAAACAGGAAAACAGTGAGAAGTGAAATTTCTCAGGAGTGCAGGTCATATTATTTGCCCCGAACTTCACAATATTTGCATGAAATTCATCTCCAGCTTGGGTCCAGACCAGATATCTCCATTTTGGTAGAGTTGACCTAGCACTGCAGTGGAAGCTGCTAGAAAATTGGCAATGTGTGGAGTAACCAGATTTTTTCAAGTATTGCCATTTTTATCAATGGTCTTGTTTTCTGGTTTGTGAAGGGCTGCAGCCAGTACTTTAAACACAAACAAAACCGATATGATTTGTCCGTATCTGCCTGTAAAAATGCCTGATGCCTGACTTCAGCTGTATTTGAGGTTTCTCTTGCATCCTTTGGCACTGAGTCCCGGTGAGTTAATTTTGGTGGAGGACTATAAGGAAGCACTTGGAAAATGTTATTTTATCAGTTTTCAGTAATTCTGTTAATCTTCTAAATCATTAAGTGTTCCCATTTCTAATATTGAATTAGAGAACAGAAACAGGATCAATCAATTTAAGTCCTCTGTATGGTGAGTTGTTTATACCAGCTCACTGACTGTCTTCTCTGAATTGAGCAGCCTCATGGCTTGGTTTGTGAAAAGTGCTTTGCACTATCCATTAAACCAGTTGGCCTTTAAGCAGCCAGAAATGACCAGTTCACAGTGTATCCTTGTTGAGGGGGAAAAAAAACATCTCTGCAATTGTAAACATCCCACTGCTTTAAGTGACAGCCTTGTATTAGTGACATAAACAGGAAGAAAGAAAAGTTTGGAGGGCATGGAGTGGAGACGGAGGGATGGTTAGATAGAGGAAAGCTGCGTCTGTTGGGGCTGAGTTTTATAACTAATTTTCAAGTGATATAGATTAGAGCTGCTTTTACGCATCTGCACATTGTGTCTGAGCTGGACAAGTCCAGGTTGGCTTCCTCTGACTCACTGTAAGTGCATAGGGAACTAATTTTTTGTTAATCCATTCAAAACTATGCTGTTTTTTTTAAAACTGCTGCCCTCCTCAAGCAGTTTTCACTAAGCTGTGACAGAATGACTACCAAGTTTCTTTCTTGAGTACTTAGTTTCCAGGAGAGAGAGGTGAGTAACTGAAATGTTTTTTCAACTGTTGGTTTCCATCTGTTGTGTTAAGTAAGGATTTTATAAATCTGCTAATTGTTTTTCCAGTGTTCTGGCTTAATTGCCCAAAATTCCAAAGATCAACCCAGTCCTTCAGACTTTCTTTCAGAAAGTGGCATAAAAGTGGCAAACATTTGCTTTTGATTGCATGCTTTTGTTGGCATCTCTGTCTCTTGGGAACACCTGGATGTAAACAATCAATTCCCTCCGACAGGCTGAGCTTAGTTTACCACCTGGAAGTAAGTCAGGGTAACTTTCTTTAGGTGCCTTTGAAAAGCAAGTGTTTGTTGTCATAGCTTTTGAAGGATATGGACACACCAACAAGTGTAAGCCTAAAGCCTCGTACTTCAACACATACAGCTAGGTCTGCTTACCCTCCCAGGTAAAACTCTTCCTTTGGCAGCAAGTGTTAACTTATTCTGTGTTACTGTACTGTGCACTGGTGCAGTTTTTGCATGGGTGACCAGTGGGGAAGGATCCTGTGCCCATGCAAGTGCCATAACAAATTAAAACGCTGGCTCCAAAAGGGCTTTTGGTCATCTCTTATGTCAGTCAAGCTTGAGTCTAGTGCAACGGTGACCTGCCCCTCTTACGACCTTTTGCATACCATGACACATCTGTGGTATATAAATATAAAATACAGGATTAGAACATCTTTTAGTATATGTGATGGTGTTCCTTTCCCATGGTGGTGTCCCTTAGGAATTCGACAGTGGGAAAAACTGAGTTTTCGGGAGATAACACAGAACTGAATTGAGACATCTACTTTTTTACAAGCTTGAAAAAACAGGACGTGAGGCTTTTGGGTAGATTAGCATCTTGTCAGGCTTGTAGAAGGAGTAAAAGAACTGTCAAAGCATTATTCAAACGTGTTGTTAATTCAAATCTGAAAAGTTCTGCTGGAGCAAAGAAGATTCTTTCCTTGTGAGAGCCACCCTCTGACTCTGTCCGATGATTTATTAATTTATTCAAATTTTTTCATACTAATGACATCCTTTCTGCTTTGTTCCTTAAGCAATGTCACAGAGAGCGACAACACCAATCCAACTGAGAGCGCACCTGTTTCCTGCTACCCTTGTAACATGATGAAAACCGAAGCCAAAGAGCCTGAGAGCACGATGCCTTTGGGAAGCCCCTCAACTGAAGCTCTGCCTTCGAGGTTATCTTGGCCAAACCATTTTTCAGGAACTGCTGAAGGCCTGAATAGGAGTGATTTCCTGCTCGATTCAAGCAGGAGCTACAGTTACCCCAGACAGAAGACTCCAGGTACGCCAAAGAGAAACTGTCCAGCACCTTTAACTTTTGACTTCGATGGGTGTGAGCTCCTGGCGGGGTGCTCCCCGCTGACCCCAGCAGAGTTCACAAACACCATCTCTAGCTGTCCAAAGTCGGCAAGTTACTCTCTAGACTGCACTGATGAGAAAACTCTGGGAGTCAGCAACACAAAGCAGAGCCATTCGTGTCCTGCCTTACCTCCTCGGGCACCGAAGTCAAGTGAAGAGAAGACGGTTACAGACATGTGTCCCTTGCCGCTGAAAATAGATGGTGCTGAGGAGGAGCCAAAAACTGGTTCTCCAGACCTCTTGGAAGATCAGTATCTCGTTAAAAAGGGGATGCAGGATACGTTCTCTGTGTCTTATCCCTTCTCATCTCCCCTCCACCTTCAGTTAGCACCAAGATCTTGTGGGGATGGCTCTCCCTGGCAGCCACCCACGGACCTTTCTGGACTCTCGATAGAGGAAGTGTCTAAGTCGCTGAGGTTTATTGGTCTGTCAGAAGATGTCATATCGTTTTTTGTTACAGAGAAGATTGATGGCAATTTACTCGTTCAGCTTACGGAAGAAATCCTGTCAGAAGACTTTAAGCTAAGCAAATTGCAGGTTAAGAAAATACTACAGTTCATTAATGGCTGGCGGCCCAAGATGTGATGCCGACTAGTTATTAGCGAAACTGTACAAGATGTGCTCTATGCACTTCAGCTAATACATCACTTCCTGTTTTTTGCACTAAAAGCCCTTCCTGTAAATAGTAGTAGAAAAATTCTTACTATGCAGATAAACATTTTTGAGTGGTGAATGGAATTTATTTTTTTTTTGGTATGTCAATAATAAAGGTAGAGAATCTGCAGAGGTGTGCCTTGTGCATCCCTGAACATTCAACAGCTGCTAAAAACTGGACACTAAGGGAACTTTTACTCCGTAGTCTGTTAAGACTTAGTCGTATTTATTACTGAACAATTTGATGCTGAAAGACACACACAGATCCAGTTTACAGTTTTGTGTTAACTGCAAAAAAAAAAATGTATTTCTTACAGGATTATTTCTGTTCAAATAATATTTGGCAACATGCTGTGACTTTCTTCCATTTCTGTTAACAAAAAGCATGTTCACATATTACAAAAAAATCGTTTTGACACTCCATCTGAAAATGTTAAGGATTGCTGTGAAGTGCCACTAATAATTCTTGCAGCATATTTTTATTAACAGTATCTTCCTGACTACCTGTAATGTGGATACATTTTCTATGTTACTTTGAGCAAAAAGAGTTAAATGTTTTTAAAACAAGAGTCTTGCTTAGCTCATTGCCCAGAGGGGAGGGAAAAGGGGGATTTTCCTACTGAGCCACTCTGCCCTGACCAATTAAAAGTTTATGACCTGTAGATTTCAAAAGTTGCTTTTGTAGTCGGATGGCTGGAGTAAGTAGCATGGCATCTGGTCGTGCAGCTTTCTCATGGGAAAGGCAGTTAGGTGCACAGACTCCTCTCGGCAGATCCTGCCTGCAATAACCTTGCTCTGGCGAAAGGCAACCCGTTGTGTTTCCTCTGCTGCTGTTACAATCCTCTGAAAATGTGCTGGATGCACTATGCTAGTCCTGTGGTCGGATCTGTGTGGGAAGGTGATAGTACTGCTGTAGGATGCCTTTGAAATAAAGCATTAGTGAGGTGGGAGGGAACAGAAACTGCACATGGCACGCTGGTAAGAAGGGGCCAGTGAGGTTTTGGGCCATGCCACGGGAAATGCTTGTGATGTTTGAAGTTCACCTGTCTTGTTTGCAGTGGGCCAGGAGGATGTGAGTGTCAAAGTGGGAGGGACTATAGCATCGTAAGATGTGCTAATTCAGTTGCCCGGCTGCAAAAACTCACTGCAATAGATGTCACATGGAAATAGCAGTCAAAAGGGAGCACAGAGGTGGGAAGGGGACATGAGTCTGCCCCTGGGGACCTTTCAAATTTAACTGCACAGAAGGCTAGAAATAGCTTTTGATTGTCAGTTGCTGACTTCTTGCAGTTGGCAGAGCCCTCTGTAATGTGTCTAAATAACCCCAGGATCCTCTGCCTCTGTAGCACTGAGTGCAAGGATTTGTGGAGGTGCTCAGGAAACGGTCTGTGGTGTCCATCCTCAGCAAGTGTGTGTGCCCAGGATCTTCAGGTGGTCAGAGCCAGGGATGCTGGAGCAGCTTCACCTTCACCTGCTGCTGAGCAGAGCCGTGGCCAGGGTGACACCATCACCTGCTTTTCTTACCTTTTTGAAGTCCAAAAAATCTCTCCATTTTAGGCCACATAGCTGGAGCATCAAGAGAAAATACAGAGCAGGGACAAAAATGAGAGGCTGATTTTGCCTGTTTTCCCAACCATATTGTCTCATTAAAAAGAATTTATTTGCAAATGGAGTTTTCTGTTGCCTGGGCAAATTTCATGTCATGTCTCCTTGCTGAAACCAAGATGCACTGTTTGTCTTGCAATAACGCAAACCACCAGTTCCCATCCAGAGAGCAAAGCCCAATTGATCTGGGTACTAGAAAGCAATGAGCCAAAAACTATTGCAATAGAAAAACCCCAAGAGTTCATAATCCTACTCTTTTTCTTAATATATTGACTTTTAGCAACAGATCAATAGCTTTCTCCAGATGCTTTTTAATTAGCGTCCTAAAATATTTTAGCTGCAAGTAAGACTAAATCAAATTCAAGTACTGTTCAGATGTGTATGCTTGTTGGTAGGCACATGCAAGTTGAAGTCAATTGCATTTTAACACTTGCAGTGTCAAATCAGCGTTCAGATTTGAAAGGGCCAAATTTAAATGTCAGGTACTTCTCTTTATTTTGCTTGGCTTAATTCCAGATAAAAAAAGTAAAATATCTTTGTCTCTTTTTTTGTTGTTGTTGTTGTTGTGAGAGAGGGATTGCAGTCTTGGTGATATTAACATCAATATTGCTAATGCCTCCTGGATATTAACATGCCCTAGAAAATAGTGTTCTTTGACAGCGGATGGACACCTATTCTGTTATCTCTGCTTACCTACTTGGAATGGTTTTTTCCTTGCAAACGGCCTGGTGGAATTTGCATTCATGAGTGTGCTGCATTAACATCACATATGCATTGACCAAAATACAATTGGCCTGTTGAAAGGCCCAGAAATGTGCAATGATTTCAGAAGCAGAGCCTGTGTGCGAAAGTACAGCTAAAACCTCTAACTGCAGACTTGCTATTGATGTCCTTCTGGTTGTCTTGTTCTGGCTTGGCACCACTTACTTTTTTTTATGCATAATATGTTAGCTTTTCACCTTTTCTTTTGCCCTTAGCCGCGCATCACCTTGATTTTCCAAGCCTTTTCTAACAATTTAGGTATTCCTAACCTTTGCGTTGTGTGAATCCTACAACTGCAGCGTTGAGCTACCTGCTGTGATGCCCAAGCTGGACTGAAGCATCTGCTTTGGTGAAATCAGGAGAGCGATGAGCAAACCGGGCAGCTGGAGTGTGGTGCCTTGGCCTCTTCACCGCTGTGTAGGTAGCCAGACTATGGCAGCACTGATGCCCATAGGGTCTAATTTATTTGCTTTCTTCTTGAGCTTTGCCGCCATGGTGTTAGGGGGTCAGAACCATCCTTGGTGCCGTAGAAGGCAGTCTGAACAGGGCAGATAGATGTGAACGCATCGGTCTCATGGGAATTCTCTGGCAATAAAGGGATGGTGGCACCTTTGAAACGGGGCAGGATCCGAGAAGATCTTAGGCCTTAGCAGAGAACCACGCAGTTTCCTCAGAAGGATGGGGTGTAAAAGCTGGAGAGTTAAATCTGTAAAAGATTACAAAATGCTGCACTGTTTAGGGTACTTTGAGATGGAGGGTTACCTTAATGTTCCCACTGTGATTAGGGAGTGTCTGAAAGCTCTGGGGAATACCCAAGATACGAACTTTTTACTAGGTGATGTGAAGAGGAGGAGACAGCACTCAGCATTTGATAGAACTTGCAAACCCTACTAGCAAACCGAGCAGCGCCAGGGCACGGGCACTCTCTCATGGGAGTCCCTTGGTGCCGAACAGTTGATCTGGGCTCTTGCCTGGTTTGGTGCCACCCAACCAGCCTGTGCAGTGGGTGATCCCAGACAACTCCTAAGCACAGCTCGGAGGTTAGCAGTGGGGGAAACCAGCCTGGATTTGGGAGGTAATGGAGTTCAACCGTGTTGATGCGAGCTGTGTTGGTTGTCCTTGGGGCCTGAGAGCAGGCTCTGGCCCTTTTTGTCCACCAACAGAGATGTAGCCATTGAGTTCAGACTACACACGTTGTGCCAGAGTGGGCCTAAAATCTCTTACCTTTTGGAGGCAGTCTACTAAAGTAGGCCAGCCCTAACCTTGGATTTCTTTCCTCAGATTAAATAAATCTAAGGCCTCTGGTGCTTATTTAGTTATCAGTGTCTGAAGTTGTGCTTTACCCCCGGGGGTTTTTGTTTGTCTGGGGGTTTTGTTAGCAAAAAATCTGGCACATCATTCTGTGTGGAGCTGTCTCTTTGTCCTGCACCAGGAGACACATCCTTTCTATGCAACGGTCGCGTGGCGCTGCAGGGACCGATGCTGCCTTAAGCGGTGAAAGCTGGATTCTGGCATGGGGGCTTTTCTGGAGGTGGACGTGGAATTGGCCAGGGCAGGGATGGGGAGGAAACTTGATGGGAAATGCTGGTTTCCTTTAAATGCTTGTTGTGCCTAGGATTAAGATTCTTTGTGTCGCTGCCTGGCTGGTTAACCAAAGCTGTATTGAAATCAATTCAAAGTGCATATTTGTGTTCTTATTCTTGCCGTGTTTTAAAAATTGCCTACGGCTAGAAACTTAGAGACAGAAAACATTTGGTCCCTGCAAAATTAGAAGGAAAATGTATTTTGAAGTGATCTTTGCAGCTCGAAGCAAGGGTTTGAAGTAACTGTGTATTACATAGGGTTTTTTCCAATACAACAGTTTTACTTGCCACTTTAATGGACTTTATTCCACAACAACAGTTCCAAAAGAAACATACGTAGCGATGCTGTCTCAAAACCCACCGTGTTTCAAATCTGTCTATAAATACTTGAAGTGTTTTCTGCTATGTTTTCTTCTTGAATCCACTCCTTGATTGTCTCCCAGCTAAATAAAGTGTGCTGGCACCAGCTGCTTGTGTGCTGCCCAGCGGGGTGCCTGCCTGCAACCCAGGTCAGCCAAGTCCTGCCTGCAGGCGGGCAGGGGGTACACCGCGCTACTTACACCAGCCCTCCCTGAAAGGACTAGGGCTTAGCCCAGCTCTCCTGGCTCCTCTTTTTGATGTCTGACATTGCACCGTTCCTGTGTACCAGCTAGAAGGTACGAATGAAATCTTAAAGTGAGGGATCGTCCTTTTTGTTCAGGGTATTAGGGACGGCAGGGCAGTAGGGGAATGCAGACCCTTTGTTGAGACGTAGCAATAAATGACTCTTCCTTTGTTTTGTCTTAAACTCCTAATAGTCCAGGAGTTGTTCCGAATTTACCATTTCTGTGCGTAATAACCAAATTTTCAGCGTGAAAATCTGCAGAGTGATTCTCTTGACTTGGACAATCTTCTGAATTATATTAAAAATAACTGTTAGTTCTTAGCTCTTTAGATTCACTTTGGGTAGGTCAAAAAAGTAACACTTGGGGAAGAAAAAGAGAAAACCCCAAAACTTTGGCTTAGTACATTTCCGTTATAAAATGAAGCATGGGTTTTGTGGAATTCTGTGCTGTTTTGGGCTTTTGTGTAAAAGGCTGAAG